AAACACATGTAGTACTAGTGCTAGCATTTATTTATGTAAAACAACTTCAGAAAAACAGTGATTTTGAAATAGCAACTGGGAGCAGGTGCTTAATATTTATCCATATTTATCAATAGTTTCTTCACTCTGATTGCCCCGACATTATTTTTGCCTCTTCACTTTTCAAAATAGGAGTGTTCAGTGATTCTCTTAAAACTATATATGTATAATACTTGATGAGACTCTGAATTATTTGCATATTGCCATAGGTTTGAGCATGTAAGTCAGTCCTGACTTTGACTGATAATGCATTACCTTATACATACAGTAACTGTTTTTCTGCTTTCCTTTCAATCTTTGCAGCAGGAAAGTTGGTCACTAACATGAATTCCAAATTTCAGTTGTTGACACTGTTAAACTGATCTGACAGTTGCCAGTAATTATTTGAGATAAGGCTATTACTAAGATAATAGGTTTTTTTTTCACTTGTGCATTTTTATTGGAATCATTGTGGAAATGGGTACTGTCTAACCAAGTGACAGATTCAGACTTATGAGAAATAATGTTGACAGCTATCTTATATTGCTATCCTAATCCATTCTGGTCAATTATATACAAAATCACAAGTCTTCTGTTTTTTTTCCCTAACAATTGTCTTTAAAAGATTCCAGAACATTTAGGCTAACAATATCATGGAGATTAAGTCCACAAAGTGAGCAAGTATGTTATCTGAGCCAACTCTAGAGAAATTTACAGTATCCTTCTCTTAAATGCATTCTTGAGGCAATCACTCCAGTCTCAAGACAATTCTTACTATCAGGATGCTTTCCTAGTGTTTTGCCCAAAGGAGCTTTTTTCCAATTTCCACTGATTTCCTCCAATTTCTGTGGAGGAAATTTCCTTAATTTATGAGGAATCCTTTTAAAGGTAAGGTTCTTGCAAGTTGATCCTAACTCCAGGTGACCCTTGGTAATGTGGGTAGCCTTCTTTTGGGATTTTCACAAACCAGCATAGAGTTTGGGGATTTTCTGATAATCTCTCACTGAAGTACTAATCAGATCCAAATCTGTTTATCTTTTTCAAGATCAAATAGCCACCTAAGGTGATCATGGCTGAGTGACAGCCATCTTCTGAAAGATTATGGCTGCCTTAAAGCCATCTAGTAAGGATGTAGGTTCCACTGAATTCAGTAGGGTTTACTGATATACTGCAGCCAAACTACATCTAAATCAGGCTTGTAACCAATGGGGAGGCTAGGAGGACTTGTTCCCTTTAATTTTCTTTGTTTCCTGATTTATTTAAGTTATTATTATTATTTCATTTATTTAAATTTATCAGTGGCCAAACTCCAATGAACTCTGGACTGTTATCTTAAAAAGACCAAAGAAACTTCCACTAATCAGGTAATACCAAACCTAAGGTAAGACTGGAATCCCAAAAGAATGTAATGGCAGTAGCAAACCACTTCTACCTTAATAGTTAAGAAGATTACATGGACCTTGTTTGGTTTTTTGACAATCCTTCTCTCTGAATTTTTAGGTGGGCTGCAGACGTGCTTTGAATGTAAACACTACTGTTCAAAAGAACAAATGCCATAAGAGAATTTTCTACTAAATTTAGTTTGCAGAGTCAATCTGTTCTTTCCACAAAAAATGCAATGTCAATGCTCCAGATACATACATGAAATCCTCTTCCAGTGGCAGGGCAACCTCTAATACCAGCAGAACATAAGATGATGCCTTAGCCCTGGAGGAGAAACAAGACATTAGATGAGAAATTGGAAGAATGAAAGTGAAGTCAAGAAGGCATGGTTCATCCAAAAAGCTAATGGCAGACACCCGGTGTTATCTGTTGAAAAAGCAAGCAAAACAACATGGCTGTTTCTTGCTTTCCCCATCTTACCTCATAGACTTTCTCTCTTTGCCTATTATTGTGGACCCCTGGGCTAGAAAGCTCATTAAAATGGACTTAAAAGTATTGTAGAAGAATGGTGCTTGCTGGCATAGTACCTCACATGCTGTCACACAAAAACAATTTAGGCTGGGGTAAGTCTGGGTTTGACTTAAATCAGGAAAGCAGCATTGGGGAAAGAGCTAATTTCCCTGGATGCCATAATTAATAGCTCTGTTCTGAGTTTGCAAAGTAAGAGGCAGAGGCAGATTATGGTTTGTTGAAGTTTCCTTTTTGGGTGGCATCCCCTTAAAATCCAGAAGTGAATACAAAGTCTAATCTGTAATATAGACAATTACTTCTATTTCACCTTTTCTGACATGCTTGTTTCTATGCTCAAAATCCAGCAGATTGGCCAGATGTAAGCCAGATGATGCTAGCAATAACAGTAATAGTGATAAGGAAAAATAATGGATGCTTTCGAACTATGGGTGCAAGGCAGTGTTAATTTTTTATTATTATTTCTGTTCTACAAAGAGACATTAATCCCTTTCTTAAGAGCTGAGGTCAGCATTTCCTGACATATTTTAACTAGCCAGGCAGAGAAAGGTCAAAAAAACCTCTGCTAGCAAGTTTTTGTCCAAGTATCATAGACACATTTTCAAGAGGGAAAAAGCTTAAGTGGGTAAACCTAAAACACTGCTGGCTAAGCCGAAAATACTGAAACTTCTGAATACAGTAGATAAGAATTATAATGGATATATACTGTGTTATAATGGTGGACTTTTACAAGACTATAAACCTGTATTTTTCTGCTTTTCTGGAAAAGCGTTTGCTTTTCTTAATGATGGCCCAATAAAAAGTCATCTGAGAAATTCAGATTCAGGGTGGGAGGAAGGAAAGGCCCTGTCATACTCTCAGGAATGTTCAATGTTTAAAAGAAATGTAAGCATTGATGAGAAATGTTAAAAGAATATGTTTAATTAAACCATTGTTTGAGGAAAAAAGAACTAGGGTCTTTATTATTTTTGTTGAAATTACTACCGCACTACAGAGATTATTTCTTCTGCAGATAAAGTAAAAAGAAATGTTTCCATGAGGAATTAGTAGCACAGGCTCCAGTAAACTTGTTCATTTGAAGGAAATAAGTACCTCAGAAGTAGCTTAAATTATTTTGGCAACCGTGAGCCCAGGCCCATTAGTTTCCTGGTCCCTTGCAGAGCAAAATGCTTTGGAATCTCAGTCAGAAATAGCCACAGGAAGATTCCATTAGCTTATTAGACCCTCGCTCTCAGATGAAAAGTCTAGATGAAAACATGTATAAATGATTAATATCACATATGCTCCTCAGTTCTGTTTATCAAGATGTTCGCTCACATTCTTAGGTATTGGCCTTCTAAAGGAGATCTTTGTTGACAAGCATCTTTATTTCACACTACAGCATCGTAGGATTACAAGTAGGCACTTCTTTACATTTTTAAAATCACTGGGGCATACATCCTACCATACACGAGAGCCAGATTGCTTTATGGGTAGTCCTTGACTTTCAACCATTCGTTTAATGACCAATAGCACTGAAAACAATGACTTATGACAGTTCCTTGCACTTACAATTATCACAGCATCCCCATGGCCATGTGATCCAAATTTGGGCACCTGGCATGTTTTTATCACAGTTACATTATCCGGGATTACCACTTGTAATCTTCCTGCAAGCAAGATTAATGGGGGAAGCCAGATTTGCTTAATAACCATGTGATTCCACAACAACAGCAGAGATTCATTTAACAAACCTGGCAGAAAAGGTTGTATAATCGGACACAACTCACTTAATGCTTAGCAATGGAAATTCTGGCCCTAATTATCATTGTAAGTCAAGAACTATCTGTAATGGTTAAGGCATCAGGCTAAAAATCAGGAGACTGTGAGTTCTAGTCCTGCCTTTGCCATGAGGCCCGCTAGGTGACTTTGGGCCAGTCTCCTCTCAACCCTAGGAAGAAAGCAAGGGCAAATCACTTCTGAAAGCTTGCCAAGAAAACTGCAGGGTACCACCAGCAGTTGAAGCTGGTTAACTCCAAAGGAGTTAACATCGATCCAAACACAGACACACAAATAAATGTTAGCTGGTTCTTGACACTGGGATTCTAATATGATGTTATGCCCTTGCCAAAAAAAAAAAAAAAAAGTTGCATGTGTTGTTGTTTTTTAAGTCTGGCCCTGGTTCTGCCTTCCCCAACCCGGTGTGCATTATACTACATTAGGGGCAACTTTCAGCCAGCTTGGACAACGGCAGGGGCTAACCAGAGATTGTAGGAACTGTAGTCCAACTCGGCAGGAAGGCGTCAGTGGGACCATTGAGTTCTATATACCTCAATTAATAATTGAGTGCAATTTGACTGAAAGGTCTGAAGGCTCCGATCTGCTTTTAAAGAAGGAAAAAGAGACGGCCGAAGGAGCAGCGGCAGTAGAAAAAGACTTCGGAAGCAGCTTCCTGCCTGCCGGATCTCCCAGGAGAATCTCCTTTGTGAGGAGGGGCTCATCCCTTCCCAGGCCAAGATAATTATAGCTCTCTCCGCGCTGCAGTTCCCAACCCGCGTCGAGCCGGCGAGCGGCAACGGGGCGCTCCCTTCTATCGCGCGATCCAGAAGCCAGGAGGAAACTGACCGGCTCCCTAGAGCGAGGGGCAAGCCAAGACAAGCCCGGTCCTGCTCCGGGGTTGTCCTGAAGCGGCCCCCCCTCTCACCTTCCTGGCCTCTCCGCAGGGCTAGCGCTCGGAGGAGCTCTCTGGACCAGCGGCGGCTTCTGCAGGCAGAAAAAGCCGGTTCCGATTGGGCGTGAGAGGACCGTGCCGAGCGGGGGCTGGGGGGAGGAGGAGGAGGAGGCGGAGAGGAAGAGAGTTGGGCTTGCAGCGATTAAATGTAAACCCGGGCGGGCAGAAAGACCCGCTCCGGTAAGTTGATCGCCCCCACGCCTCCCTGCCTGGCGAAGGGCTGCCTCGGCGGGACTCGGCTCGGCTCGCCCCGGGACCGGATGAATTCGCCCAAGGACCGTGCCCAGCCCAGGGAGACGCGCCCTCTTCCTTCCCTTCCTCGGATGGCTGTCACGTTTGGGGCGAACGGCGTGCCCTAGCGATGGAAACGAGTATGAAGAAGTTCACGGTGCGCAGGTTTTTCTCGGTCTACCTCCGCAAGAAATCGCGCTCCAAGAGCTCCAGCCTCGGGCGCTTTGAGGTAAATGCTGGCCGGGGCTGTGACTTCGCTGGGGGACTGACAGATCCTCGAGGGGGGGGG